GAGGACAATGCCATCTTAACAGCTTTACAATATAACAGCAAACAGGCAAATCATATCATATTTTCCGATTCTCCTTCATGACAACATCCATTTTTTTTATCGAAATTATTGAATTATTTAATGAACCTGCTCCTGACCATTACGACTTCGTCTTTTTTTTTTTTTGGGGGGGGGGGGGGGGTGTAAAGGAAATAGAGTTGTTTGACAAGTTTTTATTGTTTTGTATTTTATGATTGGTAGATTAGCAACTGAGATTGTTAGTGTCTGTATCCTCGAAGGGGGTTAGAGTACTGTAGAATTATTGTCCCCCTGAGAGGGTACGTTAGTTCCACAACTTTCAAAGTATATTTAGAACTACCATGTTTATAACCGCAGCATATGTGTCATTTTAATATGTTAGGCTAACTTTGCCAATACTCGCCAACACTTGCATTGAAGGGACGGTGTAAATCCTGCTGGGGTCCATGCAGGTAGCAAATATACTCTTAGTCCCCATGGGCCCCAGTATGGTGATCTCCCTTCAGTGGCTGGCGATCTGAAGCCCGTTTTTATTATGTTACGGTTATGCATGGTGCTACCCGTTTTATGATTCAATACTTTTCAATTATACAATTCAATTATTTTACTGTCCTTCGTTGGCAGTTTTTTAAATATGCGTTTCATTGTATTTATTATGTTTAACCCTTGAGAGTCAACGATATGGCTGAAATATTGCCGATGTGACTTAAAATGTTAATTCACTCACTTGCTCGCTGAGGGGTTTTATTTGGTGACTACAAAAAATTCATATGATTTTGTGTTCCCTCGTAACCGATATTCTGTCCTTTGCATTTGACATTTACGCTTTTACCTTAACTACATCTCCTCTGAAACTGATTTGAGTGAGTGAGTGAGTTAATATTTAACATCGGCAATATCAACCATACATATTTTAGGTCTAAATGAAAATCTGTCATCGATTGACAGTAAAATAACTAGAATATCACTGATTAATATTTAAAACTAGCATGCAGTCATGAAAAAGATATCACTGTATGAAATAATACAATATAAAAAAGGGCTATAGTTCGCCAACAACTGAAGGTAGATCACCATACAATACCTTTTTTTCTACCTGTATTGCTCCAGCAGGATTTACACCATCTCGTCAGTGGCTGGCGATTGTTCGCAATGTTAGTCACAATTAAAATTACAAATAGTCTACTTTAAAAAGAGTAGTAGGCAGAAATATTCCTTGAAAGACATAGGCTTACGATATACTCTCAGGGGGACAATAATTTTACACTACTTCAACCCCTTCTTCTTTTGAAGAAACAATATGATTTTCTATTCTTCTAATTATTAAGGGGCGGTCGGGTAGCCTAGTGGTTAAAGCGTTCGCTCGTCACGCCGAAGACCCGGGTTCGAATCCCGACATGGGTACAATGTGTGAAGCCCATTTCCGGTGTCCCCCGCCGTGATATTGCTGGAATATTGCTAAAAGCGGCGTAAAACCATACTCACTCACTCACTCACTCTAATTATTAAAAAAACTAATTTTACAAAACGTTCAGGAATCATTCTGAGAAGGAACAGGGCACCGGGTTTGACGTAAACCTTGAGCAATTGCTAATGACTGAAAGACGACCCATGCATACATTATCAGCGTATAATGTTCTAGAATCCTTGGCATTACTTAAGGCATTATGTATGCGTCATTGTGTCATCCAGTTATTACCGTGAACAATAAGGTGTGCACAAGGGCCTTGTAATTGCATGCATATTTATATACATAGAAAGTATTTCACAACATCTGGTTGGCGACACTTCTCAGGTTAATGACACAGTTTTATATTACTAATGCAGGGTGGCCCAGTCGTCTGAGGCGCCGCGATTCGCTATGCAGAGTTGCATCCCTTGCGCTCGCCAGAAATCTATGATTGTTGGTTCGAATACCGGTTCGCCCCGATTATGTTTCGAGGTTTGTCAGCACCATACCCGTTCTCGTGGGTTTCACCGAAGTGGTAAACGTCTGAGACCTGCATCACGTCGGACTTTCCTCCCACATTAAGCTGACACGACGCCGTTAAAAGCGGCGGTAAACCCAACTTACTCACTCACTAACAAATTACTACATTTAAGAGTATTCAGACCAATCATTGTGTGTCAATATTCTTCTTCTATTTCAGGTCATACAGTATTTGAAAATATCACCGGTGAGTAATGCCTGGTTAAGAATAAAATAAAGCCAATGCCAAAGAATCGCCAGCCTTGCATATCCAACGAAATTGATTCCATTGGGCGTAAAAGGCGGCGGTACAACATTACCAAACACGTGTTTGTATGACAGTGGATTTCACAATTGTTAGTTATTCTATAAATCAGTCGGTTCAAGAATGATATGTATGAGTGTTTATTTTATGCATTACGTCACATGTAGAGATTCCTATATTTGCACATGTAGCAAGTTAGAGGGATATATAGAAACGGTTCTCTTACAGTGAAACCTCGTTCGTCCTGACCACTTTGATATGAAAATTCCGCTTTTCTAACAATGACTGCCATGTTAGTCTTCATATAGACAAAGGACAGCGTTCCAATGATTCGCTAATCCTGGTAATTGTTAATGCAGTCGGTTTCAGTTGCTTTATTTTGAAATAGAGTGGTGATATATACACAAATAAATGTTAAAAACACTTTTATGTCTGGATATTGGAACCGTTTGCTTTATACTTAAGTCAATATTTTTTTTATATCAGACGCCACAAGAACATTGATACAGTATGAAGATGCAAGGAAGCATGTGTCCACGTTTTATGAAAGATCAGCCCTAAGAATGCTAAGGAAAACTGGGTCTATATTCATTAAGGGCAAATCAGGCTCTGGTAAGTCCAGCCTTGGTCTCAGGTTACTGGCACATATGGAATCAGAAACTAAAAGGACACCTGTTGTAATCACATCTGCCTCTCAGTGGAATATCATTCCTAAGTCTGGAAAGGAAAAGTATATTGTCATGTTGGATGACATATTTGGTTCCAGCAGTATGGTGCAAACACATGTTGATAGATGGCTCGCAAAGTTCAATACGATGTGGCCACTTATAGAAACAGGACATTTATTCATAGTCTTAACATCGAGACCAGAAATTTATGACCAGTGTGCAAAACAAGTAAATACAAATATCCTTATGAAAAGCATTAAATGTATAACTCTCGACAAAGATGAGTTTACGCTGAGAGTGAGTGAGAAGAAAAGATTTTTGAAACTGTATTGTGGGAATTCTAATTTCACCAAGGACGATTTACAGGAGATAGTAGAGAAAAGTGACCCACCACTTGGGTTTCCACAGTGCTGCAGTTTTTTTGCCAGCAGCAGACGAGCACGATTAAATGGTAAACACTTTTTCTTAAAACCTTACGAGTTCATCGCCCAAGAAATAGACATATTGGAAGAGAGCGACCTTTTTGGATACTTTGTATTGCTACTGGTGATGATGCATAATGGTCGACTAGGTTTATGTGAGCTAGACTCCATACGAGCATCAGAGGGTTTTCGTAATGCAGTTCATACTTTGCAAAACATTTGTAAAACATCAGACATGCCGTCACGTATCAACATTAAACAGAAGGCTGAATCACTGTGTGAGGTCTATCTCATTCATTCAAACAAACATTTCCAGTTTTGTCATCAATCCATATTTGATGTTTTATTTCTGAAAATGAGTCAAACAGATCATTCAGTTTGTATGAAGATTTGCCCAGCTCATTTGTTGGTTGAACGCGTGAGGACACAAAACCAACAAAACCTTTCTTCAAACAGTGGTATTTTAGCGATCCCATCCGAGAGCTTTGGTGTTCTAGCTGACAGAATTACTGCACTACTGTTGTCAGACGACTGTGTACATGTTTTTGATCACCCGTCCTTGCGAGAAACATGTTTTGTCCAGTTTTTGTTTCATAAATGGTGTGAAGCTGATGTCATTTCTAAATTGTTCAAAACAACTCTGAATCACGTTATAAAGGTGGAAGTGCTCAATCCATGCAGAGAAGGTCAAACTATTTCATTGTTTGACTGTGATAATCTGCTCTCTTGCATGACGTTGAAAGGAAATACTGAACTTGTGAGTTTATTTCTACCTGTTTCTGAAACGTATTTGAATCCCTCTATGCTCCAACAGGTACTTGCATGTGCAATCTATGGATGCAATCATCGGCTATATGAGATATTGATAGCAATGGGAGTACAAGCCAATGACGATTGTTTTCGGGCAATGTGTGCCATCCATAAGAATGAAGATATGGATATGGTCCAAACTGTTGTATTTTCACCAAATGTGCAATATTTTAAGATGTCAGACTTTACCGACTTGTTCACACTAGCCGTACTGAATCAAAATCAGCAGATGGCAAAATCTCTCTTGCATCCAAACCCAATGCACTTACCAATTTACAGTGAATGTGTGGAAATGCTGTTTGGTGTTTTGGCACAGGGTTATGATTCGCAGAGCAGCACATATGAACTAAATGACAATAGCGAAGAGGCATACACTTCTGTCGTTGAGGAGCTATTGAGAACGAGATGCAAGATCGACCCAGAGTCTCTCTTATATTGTGCAGCAAGTCATGCAACAGCAGCTGCCATGAGGTGTATCTTCAAGGAATACCCCCTTGTCAACGTGAACAAAATGCATCTGGAATACACTCCACTTCAACAGGCACTACTTTTTGGTGGAGTTGAATGTTTGTCTTTGCTTCTAGACCATGGTGCGGAAATATCTGTGACAGAAATGAATTCATATAATACTACAGTATTTCACATGGCAGCAAAAGCAAAACGAAATAGTAAGCAGAAACTTAAGATATTGTTTGCAAGAATTGCCTCAGATCAGAGAACTGAAGGCCTTCACAAAGAATCACACACTGTTCTACAGCAAACGACCAAACGCGAAAACGGCAAAGAACATGCGGAAGATATCCAAACCCACATGCAATTAGCACATTTAGTAAATAGAATGGACATAACCAAAGAGACACCCCTTCATAAGGCAGCATACACTGGCAATGCAGAATCAGTAAAATGCTTGATCAATGCTGGAGCTAGGATAAATGCACAAGACGAATTTGATATGACCCCACTTCACTTGGCCGTGATGAAGGATCATACGGATTGCATCATGTACCTTCTAGAAGCAAATGCCTCTTTGGGGATTACGGAAATGTACGACTCTCTTCCCTTAGCAATGTCTTATGGGAGCAGCATCAGCTCCCTGAAGGCAATTGTTTCAACTGTAAGTAAAAGCTTCAAAGACAATAGGCAACTTAGTGGATTCTTGTTCACAGCTGTTCAAAATAACGAACTGGACAAAGTGAAGCTGCTATGTGATAATGGAGCTGATGTGAATTCAAACTTTGCTGATGGAACTCTATTGCATGAAGCAGTTGAGAAGAGTGATATCGACATGGTGATGTGCTTGTGTGAGAAAGGAGCAAGGGTTGATGCCATTGATTTTGAGGGGTATTCTGTTGTTCACAGGGCAATTAAGTCAGAAATTGAACCCGTTGAAAAGGTGATGTACCTACTTGATGAGAGACATGCACCTGTAAATGTTCAAGAAGGAAGCCATAAACGAACTGCCTTGTTTTCAGCAGTGTTAGCAGGAAATGACGAAATTGTGGAGATTTTGGTAGAACGACAATTCAACCATATGCATACAGACTTCCATGGCCATTCAGTTCTCCACACACTTTGTTTTCAAGAGAATTACAATGGATCTGTTTTCAAAGTGTTGTCAAAATTTGATAATCAGTTTCTAAATATTCAGAATGATAACGGTGAGACTGCACTGCACATACTTGCACGAAACAACGATGCATATGGTATGAAGCTGTTACTTGAGAGAGGTGCTGACCACTCCATTCAAAACAATGAAGGTATGACTCCACTTCATGTTGCTGCATTGGAAAGTGTTGATTGTCTACAGCTCCTGCTCCATTTTAAGGCAGACCGTCACACCAAGGACTCCAAACGCCGTACCGTCCTCCACCACTCTGCGAAAGCAAGGAACACGAGTACCCTTACACTCCTTCTTAAATCAAAATCAGATTTAGATTTAGTAGATGAAGACGGATGGACAGCAGTTCATTGGGCAGCGGAATATGGACGCAAAGACAACATCAAACTTCTGTTAGAAAATGGGGCTGATCTGTATACTCAAGACAATCACGGGAGAACAGCCCTCCATGTCGGATGTGAAGGAATAAATAGCCAAACGGTGGAGTTAGTACTCCAAAAAATGTCAAACGCAAATATACTTGATGAAAGAATGAGATCGCCACTTCATTTTGCTGCAAGAAGGGGATGTGGCGACAATGTAAAATTATTGCTCGACAAAGGGGCAAACCCTTTTGCAAAAGACTTGAAAGGTAGAATTCCACTTCACCTTGCTGTAAAAACCAAGGATAGTATATGTGTAAAGTTGCTGCTCTTTGCAAACTCGGATGTGTGTGCAGTTGATAATAATGGTGACACCCCTCTTCATCTTGTAACAAAAAGGAGTTCCAGTTCCAGTATTGAACTGCTGCTGGAGAACGGTGCCAATTCAAACATTCAGAATAAGAACGGAAATACGGCCCTTCATCTTGCAGCATATAGGGGCATTAACAAATGTGTAAATCTGCTTCTAGAAAACGGTTCAGATTCAAGTGTACAAAACTTCCAAGGCCAAACACCATTACACCTTGTTTCTGAAAAAGGAAATCGTGAGTGTCTTCAACTGTTGTTACATCATGGAAAGTCTGATGTGTGTGCAGTTGATAATAATGGTGACACCCCTCTTCATCTTGTAACAAAAAGGAGTTCCAGTTCCAGTATTGAACTGCTGCTGGAGAACGGTGCCAATTCAAACATTCAGAATAAGGACGGAAGTACGGCCCTTCATCTTGCAGTATACAGGGGTTTTATCAAATGTGTAAAGCTGCTTCTGGAAAACGGTTCAAATCCAAGTGTACCAAACTACCTTGGACAAAGACCATTACAAATTGCTACCAAAATGGGAAAGCGTAAGATCGTTAATCTCTTGTTACAGCATGGCGCCAATGCATCTCCGTGTGATACTTAATGAGAAGTTAATCAAAAGTTAATTTATATTCAAGACGAGAAACATGCACCTGTAAACGCAGTTGACAACCATAGATGAACCGTTTCCAGCTGTTTTGTCAAGAGATTTGGGATCAGTTATTAGAACGACATTACAATGACATTTGAATCATACAGTTGAATATGACACTGTAAACTCTGTATTCCATTTGTTATTGTAGGAGCATTTCTCTTTGAGATGTAATTGCAAGGTAGTTGGGCAGTGATCAGTCGTCAGGAAGTAACTTCATCACACTGGATGAGCTTCCAAGTGAGGATCGCTCATCATCCCTGATTCCCTGCCTAGCCCATCGCGGAAGCTTGTCCACTGTCTCCCATTGGTGAATACATATTATTTTCAATGACCTTTGCCATCACTACTGTATTTTGTGCATCTGGTACTGTCCACTGCCATCATATTATATATTGCCATTGAATATTGTACTACCACTCTATTGTGTACTGCCATTGTAATTTCTGTGCAGCATTTTGTATTGATTTGTAAACCTAATTAATTTTGTAATACAATTGTTAATTGTATACCTTTTGTTGGTTATTAATTCTTTTCACACTTAGTTCTTTTACGTTCAGAATTCTGGGTTAACATTTATAGTTCTGGGTTAACATTTATTGCTTTAATTTGGGAATCGACACGTAACACTTTACCATAAAAAGGTACATAAAGGGGAAATCCCTTACCATTTGAACAGTTATGCCAAGTAGTATAATTAATCGTGTTTAACCTTCAAAGCATTTTAAAAACATATTAATAAAACGTCACTCATAAAACCTCATACACTTTCTATGTTAGTATGCAACTCCTTTAACTAATGAATAAAAACGTGCGCAAATTTGTATTCCCCCTTAATCCTTGTGTGCAGCGACATTCCCTTGATAACACCATATGGTGCTGTGATGTCACGAAAGATGGATACACTGTAGTGATGGTATAGGTTACAGAACGTTGCGACGCTACACCCATTCACTTCTGTCGTAAGTAATACGCGACATGACGTAGACTGGGACCTAATTCACCTTTTCCATGGTATATTACGTCATATGTTTGACGATTTGAATTTTAGTTCATGATTCTCCACTTAACCACTTAAGGCGACAGATTGATGTCAAATATGCCGTTAAAGGACTTCTGATATACAACAAGTGAAAACATGACCATACCAGTAACCGGCCATGACGTTATATGGAACATACTACGTTTCATCACTACAGCCTAATCTGAGAGGAAAGCCGAATTGACGTTTTCAATAGAGCTTGGTGAAACACACTGGGACGGGTTTGGTAGCAACAAACCAATGGTGAATCACAAAGTCGAACTCATAAGTAACAACTCATCGTGTCGTCTAAGGCCAAGGAGCACCAATCCATCGTTTAGTCAACAGAGCAATGTGACGACGCGGTTACAGCAGCGCTAGTGACTGAATTAAACAGTTTAACCACTCGTCGCTTGGGACTCAGGCCGATTTGTCAAAAATGGTGACGTTGCAATCAACTTGCAAGCAGGCACGCAGTCTTTGAGTCAGCTTAGCTCTTTGGGAGGCATTTAGAAGTGGGAGTACGAAGTATGAATAAGCAATATTGTTGAACAACTTATTTATTAAATTACAATTTGGAGCGACGTCTCGGTGTAGGTTCTAACACCGTTATCAAACAAGTGATCACTAACGGTGTTAGAACCTATACTGAAACGTCGCTCCAAATTGTATTCAAGAAGTGTTCATCCATATATTTTATCCTTACGCAGCATAGCTTATTGGCCGAACACTTGAAAACATAAAATAACCAAAAAGCTTGAGGGAAGTTCAGTAATTACGTTTAGACTCACGCGACCCACAGCAAACGGGGCGGTCGGGTAGCCTAGTGGTTTAAGCGTTCGCTCGTCACGCCGAAGACCCGGGTTCGATTCCCGACATGGGTACGTTGTACGAAGCCCATTTCTTGTGTCCCCCGCCGTGATATTGCTGGAATATTGCTAAAAGCGGCGTAAAACCATACTCACTCACTCAGAGCAAACATTCTGAGTATCTGTGTACTCAAGCTTCACAGGAATATATCACATTTGTTTTTGCATCCATTGTTTTTCTTTGCAGAGGAAACCATGAATAGTGGCTCGTCCTTCATCAAAGTTGTCAGGATGCATCGCCAACACTCGCCGTCTTTATTTCTGTATTTTGCAGTGACTATGCACTGTATGGACGTGGATTCTCACATTTCTATTTCTTGTAGTAACTTGTCAACTGTTACGTCTAGGGGCATCATGCGTGAATGATTGACAACAAGCCGACTAGTCCTTGTTTTAGCCCATTAATGCCGAGGATGTGTGCGGTTGGACTTCATACACTGTACCTTGTGAGGATTCATAATAATGTACCAAGTCCTTTTCACATCTAGTCTAAACGCAACAATTATTTGCTGCCATTCTGCATTTAAAAATGAGCCAGAATTATTGAATCCCCACATCAAGAAAAAATTATAGTGTAAATTTAATTTAATAAGAATAGGGGCACAATGAACCTCTTTTCTATCCTAGTTCTGACAATGGTACGAACTACTACTACTACTACTACTACTACTACTACTACTACTACTACTAGTAGTACTACTACTACTACTACTACTACAATATAGTCAAAACCTCAAATACTTATGCTGTACCCGTCCTTTCATATTCTTTTGGTGTTCAGGGTATTGAAAACCCTCACATTTTCAGACAATAGTTCCCCGCACCCTCGCTCTTCCATCAATCGCTTATATTTACCAATCATAATGGGAGGGCGTGGTTTGATTAACGTGGTTGCTCTTTGAGAATTGTATTGTGCACTTTTGCACACATTTATTTTGTCTGATGATCCTCTTGTGAAGCATGTCAAGACACTTGATGAAAACAAGAGATTCCACAGTTTTCTTAAACGAGCCAAGTATGTGAGACATAATCTCAATGTCAGTGTTTATTTTGACATTGGGAGATTTTAGTGCCAGGAATACAGCTTTTCAGACAGTCTGGGAAATGCATAAGGCTGCAGTGTTGGTTAGTGTTTGCATTCTCCGAAGAGTTCTTGGTGGGGTCGACAAGGCAGCGCGTCGTTGGAAAAGTCCCATTCGCTGTCCGGGCTGCGTGTAAAGGTGGCACACTCCATGTGACTCTCATACGCGCCATCTCGATATTTTCTTATTTGATCCGTCTGTCGTCACCAAAATTACATGTTCTGCAGTCATTTAATTTAAGTAGCAGTTGGATATGTTCCTTTTGAGAGGTGGGATATAGTAGCCAACTGGTTAAAATGTTCGCTCAATCTGTGAAGCCCATATTCTGGTCTCCCCTGCTGTGATATTGCTAAAAGCGAAATTCCTCACTCACGTATATGCTCATGTGATCAATGTGGACCGACATAGACATAGCAACGTCACAGTAAACAGAAGAGTTCATATCAAGTACATGACAAGTGTATCAACATCTACAGTGTAATGTCAATTAGCATAAATGCCGGATGTACTTGTGACAGTGTGAAAGGAAGGAAGTATGTACTTCAACCATACCCATGTCCTCATTACTCTTGCCGTGGGAGGAATTTCGAAGCATGATAAAATCTAAAGACTGTCACGTATATCAACCAACTATCCCAAAGGAGATACGTTATGAAAATCGAGGCGACTAACGAGATCGGGTGGGTCAGGCTCGCTGACTTGGTTAATGTATGTCATGTCAAATGCGTGGATCGATGCTCATGATGTCAATCACTTGATTGTCTGGTCAATACTCGAACATTTACAGACCACCGTCATATACTTGGAATATTGTTTAGTCTTGGCGTTAAACGACAAACAAAACACAATCACACATCAACCCAAACCACGACAGATCTAAATATGAATAAGGATGTAAATATCAAACCAAAAAACAGGAACGCACTCACTCTAGATTACAGAACTTCCACGTCAGATATGTATGCGATGATATAGGCCTTTCTCGGGAAGATAGCTTCGCGTCATTGTCATCTGACAGGAAACGCCTTTGAGATTTATGTCCTGTTGACCATTTGACTTCACACATGGTGAACACACTCGGTCACCTGCGTGCTGCACTCTCGACGAGTACAATATCTTCTGGTTGTTGGCCATTCTACTCCAGGATACCTTTCTACATGGCGGGTAAGATTTGTATAGTTAAACATTGGCTGTTGAAGAAAACAAACGACTAATGTGTGTAGAATCGTATTATCACAAGTCTATTACATGCTGTTATTTTACTATAATTTGAGCTTACAATATACTCCGACGCAGATTTAAATGTAGAATGCTCATGATTCGGGAAATGAATTACGTTGTGACAAAGTGATTTAAAACATCATTAATCCATAGCACACGCTTGCTGCAACATAGATATACAGATGTGCAGATATACATAAAAGGATATGTTATCAGGAATCGGGCGTTCTACGCTACATTAGTTACAGATATACTTCTCATAAAGTGAAAACCGGACATACTGGTCTCATGTCATAGTGATGATAACGAAGTTTTGATCAACAGGGGGAACTCTGCGGATGTAGAGGCTTGTGGTGGGTTTAACATTTGTTCATGTGGTGGAAAATCACACAATATACAGTGATGGTCGAATTAGGGATCATCATTATTAGGACACTCAATAATCTGTGTTTCACATTATTATTATTATTATCTTTGCATAATTATTAACACATTAATGTGTCTAGTATCATTTAATATTAACAGGATATGTAACAGTTTATATGATACACCGCGAAATACGTCAACCGGGAGAGAACTTCAAATGGAAAATATAATACTTTGTCCCCTTCAGTTTTCTTTTCTTCAAATGTCATAATCGGCGTTTCATGTAAAACAATAACGTATTTCATATAATTCAATTAATATGTAATTGCCAAGTTTCGGAAATTACTTTTGGCAGATTTCGAACATATACACTTTTAAATGAGAAAGTAAATGTGTTGTTTTCCAGACAACTGACTATTAAATTATATATTTACTTTTTGTAGTAGTAGTAGTAGGAGGAGGAGGAGGAGGAGTTGTGGGAGTAGTAGTAGTAGCAGAAGAAAGTGTAGCAGTTGTAGCAAAAGTAGCAATAGTAACTGGAGTAAGAGTAGCATAAATAGTAGTAGTAGTAGCAGCAGCAGTAGCAATAGCAACAGGAGGAGTACCAGAAGTAAAGGTAGCAGTAGTACCAGTAGTACTTAACATTTGTAGAAGAAACAGTGGAGTACAAGTAGCCGTTACAACATCAGTATCAGCAGTAATATTAGCAGGGGTAGTAGAAGTTGTAGTAGTAGTAGTAGCAGCAGAAGCAGCAGCAGCAGCATTAGAAGTAGTAGTAGTAGTAGTAGTAGTAGTAGAAATAGTAGTAGTACGAGGAACATTAGTAGAGGATATTTAAATTTCAAACCTTCTACTCACCCATCCCACCACTCGAACATCCCCAACCCCCCCACACACACAAGTTTTTTCTGATTTGTTTTCAATTCTATTTAATATATCAGTTGCACAACTATTATACTACTATCTGTTACAATGTATTGATAGATGTGAGTGAGTGAGTGAGTTGAAATTTATAGTCACGTCGGCAGTTTTTCAGCCATATCGAGTTGTACAGGAATAATATATAAATATGGACTATAAAATCTGTCAACAAAGGACAGTCAAATCGCTAGACTATCACAGATATAGATTTAAAACTAGCATGTTACCATAAAAAGTGACAGTTCGGAACAATACATTATAAAATTGGTCTAGAGATCACCAGCAACCAAAGTTAGGCCACCATACTAGGGACCATGGGGACTTACGGTACATCTGCTTCCTGCTTGGTACCCAAGCAGGATTTACACCATCCCTATGGCTACTGGTGATTGTTAGATATTTTAAGCCAAAGTATTTAAAAACAACAAATATTCTACGATTTAAATCCAGGAAAATTAAACATACTTTGAAGAAAGTGGGACTTACGCACCCTCTCAGGGGGACAATTAATTTACGATACTTCAACCCCCTTTGAGGGTACAGCCACTAACAATCACAGTTATAGAATCATTCTACCAAATTAAAAACACATGCTTTTTACAATACATATAATCAAAATTTATCTATAAACTCAAAATCCAAGAATTAAATGAGAACTTTAAAAAGATCCTTCATAGATGAAACCTGGAAATAATTAGCCCTCGTGATGGAAAAATCAATACAGTCAAGCAGGACATGCTTGACTGTGATTCTCTCATCACAAGGGACAGAGAATGGAGGATCTTCACCTTGCAATAAATACTCATACTCATGTGTATGACGCGAATGGCCAATACGACATCGTCGAATCAAATCTGGACTGACAACCCAAGTAAGTGTAACCGATAGTTGGTTTTATTGCATGTAATTTATTAGTACCTACTTGGTTGTCCCACTTCTTCTGCATAAGGTCTTTGATATAGCATCTAATTAAAGGTTTGTAGTCGCTGTATGGTATAAGAAGTGGTGTCACAGATTTGTTGAGAGCTGCCTTTGCTGCAGCATCAGCCATAGTGTTACCCGTGATTCCAACATGACTGGACAACTAGCAAAAGACGATGTTGTATTGGCCAGTAGCAAGGTCATTGTACAATTCTAAAATATCTAAAATGAATGGATGACTTGAAGAGCTCGATATGATTGCCTGTAGACAAGAAAGTGAATCTGAAAAGATGATGAACCGTTTACTGCTAGAATGTTTTTGAATATATTCCAAAGCCGTTAAATGGGCTTTGGCTTCGGCTGTGAAAATTGAGCTGTGGTCAGGTAATCGGGATGATATGGTTTTTGATCCAATGAGAGCAGCACTGGAGACTGTGCTGCCATCCTTGGATCCATCTGTAAAAATGGAACGGTGGGATTCATATTTATGGATTAGAATGTAATTTAGTAATGTATTGTAGTGATAATTTGATACGGCGTTGCTTCAATGACGGTTCATCAGCTTCTGCATATAGGCTGTCAACAGGAGATGTTCGAAAAGCACTCAGACAGAGTCGTAGGCCCTGATGGTTAATCGAATCTAACTTTTGTAAATTGCTCTTACAGGCTCCACCATAAACGATGGAGCCATAATCTAATTTAAAGCGGATCAGAGACCTATACAAGTGGAGGAGGGTTGTCTGATCACCTCCCCACTTTGTATTTGCAACAACTTTCAACAAATCTAAAGCTTTCAGGCATTTAGGTTTAAGATAATTAATATGTGGCTTAAAAGTCAAATGGTGATCGACAATGAGACCCAGGAACTTGGCCTCTTCTACAACCTTAATAGGAGTGCCATGTAAAAATAGCTCTGGATCTTTATGATGCTTGTATTTCCTACAGAAATGAATACAATTGGTCTTAGCTTTGGAAAACTTAAAACCATTTTCGAGACACCATTTTTGGATTTTGTTGAGACAAAGCTGCAACTGTCTCTCGATGGTATGAATATTTTTGCAACGACATGAAATATTAAAATCGTCCACAAAAAGTGAACCATCACTGGAATCATTTAAAACCTTTGACAGACTATCAATCTTTATGCTAAACAGAGTTACAGACAAAATACTGCCTTATGGGACTCCCTCATCCTGATTATTGTATGACACAGCATGCAGTTCTTCCCACTGTATCATATATGCAACATGTTGCAAAATACACATGACACTATGCATGAATGAATGGGTGGGGATGGGGGTTGGAATGGGCGTGCTGGTTGGGGTGTGTGGGATGGGTCTGAAAAGGTCCAAGCAGGCTCACTGTGTCCACGGGCAGCATTACAGCCTTATCAATTAAACCATACATTTTATTAAGACTAATGCGTCCTTTAGGCCCCAAAGAAAGGCTCAGAATCACAGATTCGCCAAAGTGTTTAGCTTAATTAGCACCCTACCCATGTTCATATGTTTCACCACATTGGTTAACGTCTATGACCTGTATCACTCAGGGCTTTTCCTCCCATATCAAGCCGACATGCTGTGATGTGACAGAAATCACATTCAAGGCATCGTCTAACCAAACTCACTCCTACACTAATATTCCTAGATTCAAACGTATTCAGAAAAATAATTTTCTTCTCCTATTTCAGGTAAACCTGTATTTGAAAATATCATTGGTGAGTACGGCATGATTAAGAAAACATCTGTTTGTATGACACCAGATTTGAGTGATGCAGTTCATTTTGTAAATTCAGGCAGCAATTATATGTTAGTATTCAACATTTCAGCATATGTAGAGATTGCTGTGTTTGCACAAGCATTAAGTTAGAGGTATATAGAAACATTTCACAGTGAAAACGCGTTAGTCTGGACCTCATTGATATTAAAACTCCGCTTTTCTAACGATGACTGCCATGAAAGTCTCCATATAGACAAAGGACGCTACTTGATTCGTAAATGCTAACAGTTGATAACGTGGTCGAATCTATTCATTTTACTCGCTTATAAATTGTGGGTTTAATTCGCGGTTCACCCCGATTATGTTTCGAGGTTAGTCAGCACCATACCCGTGCACGTGGGTTTCATCGAATTGGTAAACGTCTGAGGCCTGCATCACTTCAGGCTTTCCTCCCACATTAAGCTGACACGCCTCGACATAACTGGAATACTGTTAAAAGCGGCGTCACTCGCTCGTTAATGCTAACATTTGATAACGTGTTGGAATCTATTCATTTTACTCTCTTATAAATTGTAAAGTAAGTGGTTAAGTATGATTAAACTTGAACGAACATATTAACAGCATCAACACTCATCAGAATCTTGTTTTTCTGTTTAAAGAATGTCTGGATATTGCACCCATTTGAAGGAAGTCCTGTGATTAATATCTCAATGTATGATCTTGCCCTCAGATGCAACAAGGACATTGATACAGTATGAAGATGCAAGGAAACATGTGTCCACGTTTTGTGAAAGATCAGCTCTAAGAATGCTAAAGCAAAAAGGATCTATATTCATTAAGGGCAAATCAGGCTCTGGTAAGTCCAGCCTCGGTCTCAGGTTACTGGCACATATGGAATCAGAAACTAAAAGGACACCTGTTGTAATCACATCTGCCACTCAGTGGAATATCATTCCTAAGTCTGGAAAGGAAAAGTATATTGTCATGTTGGATGACATATTTGGTTCCAGCAGTATGGTGCAAACACATGTTGATAGATGGCTGGCAAAGTTCAATACGATGTGGCCACTTATAGAAACAGGACATTTATTCATAGTCTTAACATCGAGACCAGAAATTTATGACCAGTGTGCAAAACAAGTAAATAAAAATATCCTTATGAAAAGCATCACAAGTATTACTCTCGACAAAGATGAGTTTACGCTGAGAGTGAGTGAGAAGATAAGATTTTTGAAGTTGTATTGTGGGAATTCTAATTTCACCAAGGACGATTTACAGGAGATAGTAGAGAAAAGTGACCCACCACTTGGGTTTCCACAGTGCTGCAGTTTTTTTGCCAGCAGCAGACGAGCACGATCAAATGGTAAACACTTTTTCTTAAAACCTTACGAGTTCATCGCCCAAGAAATAGACATCCTGGAAGAGAGCGACCCTTTTGGGTACTTTGTATTGATACTGGTGATGATGCACAATGGTCGACTAGGTTTATACGAGCTAGACTCCATACGAGAATCAGAGGACTTTTGTAATGCAGTTCATACTTTGCAAAACATTTGTAAGCCATCAGACATGCCGTCACGTATCAACATCAGACAGAAGGCTGAATCACTTTGTGAGGTCTATCTCATTCATTCCAACAAACATTTCCAGTTTTGTCATCAATCCATATTCGATGTTTTATTTCTGAAAATGAGTCAAACAGATCATTCAATTTGTATGAAGATTTGCCCAGCTCATTTGTTGGTTGAACGCGTGAGGACACAAAACCAACAAAACCTTTCTTCAACCAATGGTATTTTAGAGATCCCATCCGGGAGCTTTGGTGTACTAGCTGACAGAATTACTGCACTGCTGTTGTCCGACGACTGTGTACATGTTCTTGATCACCCGTCCTTGCGAGAAACATGTTTTGTCCAGTTTTTGTTTCACAAATGGTGTGAAGCTGATGTCATTTCTAAATTGTTCAAGACAACTCTGAATCACGTTATAAAGGTGGAAGTGCTCAATCCATGCAGAGAAGGTCAAACTATTTCATTGTTTGAATGTGATAATCTGCTCTCTTGCATGACGTTGAAAGGAAATACTGAACTTGTGAGTTTACTTCTACCTGTTTCTGAAACGTATTTGAATCCCTCTATGCTCCAACAGGTACTTGCATGTGCCATCTATGGATGCAATCATCAGCTATATGAGCTATTGATAGCAATGGGAGTACAAGCCCATGACGATTGTTTTCGGGCAATGTGTGCCATCCATAAGAATGAAGATATGGATATGGTCCAAACTGTTGTATTTTCACCAAATGTGCAATATTTTAAGATGTCAGACTTTACCGACTTGTTCACACTAGCCGTACTGAATCAAAATCAGCAGATGGCAAAATCTCTCTTGCATCCAAACCCAATGCACTTACCAATTTACAGTGAATGTGTGGAAATGCTGTTTATTGTTTTGGCACAGGGCTATGATTCGCAGAGCAGTAGACATGAACTAAATGACAATAGCGAAGAAGCATACACTTCTGTCGTTGAGGAACTATTGAGAACGGGATGCAAGATCGACCCAGAGTCTCTCTTATATTGTGCAGCAAGTCATGCAACAGCAGCTGCCATGAGGTGTATCTTCAAGGTATACCCCCTTGTCAACGTGAACAAAATGCATCTGGAATACACTCCACTTCAAAAGGCACTACTTTTTGGTGGAGTTGAATGTTTGTCTTTGCTTCTAGACCATGGTGCGGAAATATCTGTGACAGAAATGAATTCATATAATACTACAGTATTTCACATGGCAGCAAAAGCAAAACGACATAGTAAGCAGAAACTTGAGATAATGTTTGCAAAAATTGGCTCAGATCAAAGAACTGAAGGCCTTCACAAAGAAGCACATACTGTTCTACAGCAAACGACCAAACGCGAAAACGGCAAAGAACATACAAAAGATATCCAACCCCATATGAGATTAGCACACTTAGTAAATAGAATGGACATAACCAAAGAGACACCCCTTCATAAGGCAGCATACACTGGCAATGCAGATTCAGTAAAATGCTTGATCAATGCTGGAGCTAGGATAAATGCACAAGACGAATTTGATATGACCCCACTTCACTTGGCCGTGATGAAGGATCATACGGATTGCATCATGTACCTTCTAGCAGCAAATGCCTCTTTGGGGATTACGGAAATGTACGACTCTCTTCCCTTAGCAATGTCTTATGGGAGCAGCATCAGCACCCTGAAGGCAATTGTTTCAACTGTAAGTAAAAGCTTCAAAGACAATAGGCAACTTAGTGGACACTTGTTGACAGCTGTTCAAAATAACGAACTGGACAAAGTGAAGCTGCTATGTGATAATGGAGCTGATGTGAATTCAAACTTTGCTGATGGAACTCTATTGCATGAAGCAGTTGAGAAGAGTGATATCGACATGGTGATGTGCTTGTGTGAGAAGGGAGCAAGGGTTGATGCCATTGATTTTGAGGGGTATTCTGTTGTTCACAGGGCAATTAAGTCAGAAATTGAACCCGTTGAAAAGGTGATGTACCTTCTTGATGAGCGACATGCACCTGTAAATGTTCAAGAAGGAAGCCATAAACGAACTGCCTTGTTTTCAGCAGTGTTAGCCGGAAATGACGAAATTGTGGAGATTTTGTTAGAACGACAATTCAACCATATGCATACAGGAGTGCATGCTTATTCAGTTCTCCACACACTTTGTCTTCAAAGGAATTACAATGGATCTGTTTTCAAAGTGTTGTCAAAATTTGATAATCAGTTTCTAAATATTCAGACTGATGAGGGTGAGACTGCACTGCACATACTTGCACGAAACAACGATGCATATGGTATGAAGCTGTTACTTGAGAGAGGTGCTGACCACTCCATTCAAAACAATGAAGGTATGACTCCACTTCATGTTGCTGCATTGGAAAGTGTTGATTGTCTACAGCTCCTGCTCCATTTTAAGGCAGACCGTCACACCAAGGACTCCAAACGCCGTACCGTCCTCCACCACTCTGCGAAAGCAAGGAACACGAGAACCCTTACACTCCTTCTTAAATCAAAATCAGATTTAGATTCAGTTGATGAAAACGGATGGACAGCAGTTCATTGGGCAGCGGAATATGGACGCAAAGACAACATCAAACTTCTGTTAGAAAATGGGGCTGATCTGTATACTCAAGACAATCACGGGAGAACAGCCCTCCATGTCGGATGTGAAGGAATAAATAGCCAAACAGTGGAGTTAATACTCCAAAAAATGTCAAACGCAAATATACTTGATGAAAGAATGAGATCACCACTTCATGTTGCTGCAAGAAGGGGATGTGGCGACAATGTAAAGTTATTGCTAGACAAAGGGGCAAACCCATTTGCAAAAGACGTGAAAGGTAGAATTCCACTTCACCTTGCTGTAAAAACCAAGGATAGTATATGTGTAAAGTTGCTGCTCTTTGCAAACTCGGATGTGTGTGCAGTTGATAATAATGGTGACACTCCTCTTCATCTTGTTACAAAAAGGAGTCCCAGTTCCAGTATTGAACTGCTGCTGGAGAATGGTGCCAATTCAAACATTCAGAATAAGAACGGAAATACGGCCCTTCATCTTGCAGTATATAGGGGCATTAACAAATGTGTAAAACTGCTTCTAGGAAACGGTTCAGATTCAAGTGTTCAAAACTACCAAGGCCAAACACCTTTACACCTTGTTTCTAAAAGAGGAAATCGTGAGTGTGTTCAACTTTTGTTACAGCATGGAACCAATGCATCTCTGTGTGACATTAAAGGAAGATCTCCTTTTCATTAGGACATGAAGTCTTCATTTGTAAGATAGTTATATCCTTACTGCTCTGCAGACTCCCATGTGTAATGACAATAATATCTCTGTTTGTCATATCTGTCAACTGTGCAATAAGGTCTTGGAATACTGATGTATTTTATTGATGTGAGATATAAACCTACCGATGTTGTATCATCAAACCATTATAAAAATGGCTTGTTTTAGCAGTGTTGCCAGGAGATGATTGGGTTGAGTTTTAATAATACAGACAGATGAGGGCAAGACGGCTCTGCTCATACCTGCATGAACCGAAATGAAAGTGGAATGATGATGTTTTGTGCTGATCACTCTATTTGTGGCCTAGAGTACACATCCTGTGTGTCCGGAAATGTCCTCACTGGCTACACGTACAGGAAAGGATCCAGTTCAAAGAGATCTTCCTAATGTGTATCAACCTTCGAGAAGTCTTTGTTAACCTGAGTAGTTTCTCTTTGCAGTACCCCTTCAAGTTAAACAACTTAACTTGGCAGATCTTGTTACCACTCTTCTGCGATGATTCTCCCACAACACATCAGACTTGCTCATTCATTAACAGCCTTTAAATCCTGACTAAATCCATGTATTTCAACAAAATTGGCAATTATTTACTGTGTGTTTGTATGCCTCAGAGCATACCCACGTGCGTGAGGCATACCCACAGCGCTTGCTTTACAGGTGGACTCATTATTATCAGTTATATACAGCTTACAATATGTAACTGCGGCAAAGAGGGTTTTGGTGATCCTGGCAAAGTTCGGCCGATTAGGACCATCATCAGCTCAGGGCCCTTGCCCCCTCTACACGCAGCCCAGACAGCGAATGGGACTTCTCCCAGGAAGCGCTGCCTAGTCAAACCCACCCAGAAGTTTTCGAAGAATGTGAAGACTCCCCAACACTGCACAGATTTTCAGAAGGGCTGTATTCCTGACAGTGGACCGGGTACTCTCCCTATGTCTGACAACAGATTGGGAGTTACCAAACCTAAGGCACCGAGAACAATGGGGACAACTTAGTACGTGTGATGCAAGCGTGACATTTTGAAAGCGAGTTTCGCATTTTCGGAAATTCGTTGATAAAAATGTTTTCACTGAATTTATCAAAAGGAACGGTCATGTTTGTTTGCTTAGATAAATCTGAAGCTATATATGGGCCTATTCGCAAGACCTTGATAATTATCCTTTTTTTCATGACGCCCTCCACATGCAGGGTCAAGAGTCAAAACCACAAGCATGGAAAAGACGGTAATAAAAGCATCACGCCATGCCATCATGTCGGTTAAGATACTGTGTTTGTGCCAGACTCATTAAATTCCTTACACAATCTACATTTCATATTTACATTTTGATGCAATATCACACACTGACTGTTTTGAGTGGGACGTGGCTGGTCCTGATCAGCAAAGAGAAGCCTTCTGTTTCACTTTTCAGGGGAGCCGACTTCATCCTAGCAAATGACTCTGCAGGGTTGCTGCTCCATATAACCTCAACGCAGTGATCGTAAAGACAATTTCTCCTTGAAAAACTGTGTCTGTGTCGATTTGATATGGCACTTCGCTTGGTTGACACTCATTTCTGTACCGTCCAGCAGCACAGCACCATCAACAAAATAAACATCGATATTGAGATTGTTCAACATCCTTGGCTAGTCGAAGAAATCTGTTGAATGCCTTGTTTTTTTATTTCTTAGTCCTGATATATAACATAAGGGAAGCAGAAGTCAGGTTGTTAGCCAATCAAATGCATCATGAAATCACTTGTAATTAAGTGATTGATAGACAAATAGAAAACTGGAATTTTAAGAAGGACATAATATATTTTGTATGTTTGTCAATGTTCAGAATCCACAAGGTACTAAGTATTTATATTAAAACTTTTTGATTGGCCAACAAAACAGTTGTTTGGCAAAAACTATGTCAAATGTGCATTTGTTTGTTAATGTGTTTTACATGTCTTTTACAACGACAACCATCTTTTTTTGTGTTACCTCTCCCAGGTAAGCGTTGACGATCGGGGCAGGCAGTTCGTGGAGTAGTAGTAGTAACTATTTCAACGAGAATTGTTATTAAAATATATTCTCTGTGGAATCATTTTTCGTTTTAATTTTAGCTGCTACTGAATAGAAGGTAAAACACACGTATGACGTGCTATGAGACGCATTAAGCAAAACACAAACACAATTTCATGTATCCAAGTGATGGTGTAGCAGGAATAAACTTTTGACACGAATGACTTTAATTCTTTATGTTCTCTCACGAATGTGAGTAACGTAATTAATTAAACAGCTAAGTGAAGATGTACAGCATTTCATCCGCCTCCAGTCATGTGGATGCACATATGCGCATGTGATTCCATATATTCCATTGTCCCTTTGCTGCTTGTGGCGGACGGTGCATATGGAAAAACAACGCCACACACGCACCCTTTCTTGTGAGTGAGTTAATTAAAGTTAACGTCACATCGGCAATATTTCATGACGACCCTACCTTGTGGATCCCATTGATATGAACAGAATCATCATACCTTTGTGTCATTGAAATGCATATGAACTGATGTCCTGTTTGATCCTACTCATGGCCTGATCCCAACCCTGGCGCCCATACTGACCCACACCCTCACACCCACCGCGTCACCCACATAACCATCCCGATAACCACACCCACACACCGACCTACACCACGATCCCAACGCCGACACCAATCTCCCACACCCCCACCCACCCCTATTTTCGTACATAGATTTATTCAATATATGTACATTTATTAATGCAATTGATATACTCACACCCATCACGACATCTACAATCCCATCCCGATATCCAAAAGCACACGACCCGTGAAGATCCGGGGTAGAATATATGGGTCTTCAGCAACCCATCCTTGCCGTGAGAGGCAACTGTGCTTGTTGTAAGAGGCGACTAACAAGATCGGGTGGTCAGGCGCGCTTACTTGCTTGATGCCATCGTATTCCAATTGCGTGGATCGATGCTGTCAATCACTGTCTGGCCCAGACTCGATTATTTACAGACCGCCGTCGTATGGATTTCTATATTGCTGAGTGCGACGTTAAACAACAAACACAGCCACACACCGAACTACTCCACGACAGGTCTAAATATGAATAAGGCTGTATTGGCTAAATAGGGAATATTTCACAGAAAACATAAAACCGATTTCACAGATATTGATCAAGTACATGTAGTTTCTGAACCTTTTGGGTTCAATCATAAATTGCAAAATAGTAATTTCATCATAAGGCATTGGCGTCTTAAGTGTATACACTCCATCGGGGACCTGTGTTATGGTCACGGGTTTGTGCCATTTGGTGAACTTAAGAAAATCTACAAAATTAGAGGTACAATTCTTGATCATTATCAGGTTCTTAGAAATATACCTCAAGAATGGAAAGATTCTGTTAGAAATAATTCTTTGACAGTACATAATCTCAACATATCAGTTGTGGGTTTACTTTGAGCACCAAAAAGAACAAGATTATATTATGATAAACTTATTAGTGTAGTAAAAACACACGTGGCACACACAAGTGGCAACATATCTTTGGTATTGCAATTCCACGGGCACATATTGTTACACAATAGAGTAAGTGTACAAAAGATACTACATTGATTGACTTCCAGGTTAAATTCATCCATAATATTATTTATACAACAAAAAAGAATAGTTAGGAAATGAAATTCGTGGATGATTTAACTTGCGTTGATTCATGTTTATTGGGAATGTGATTGTGTCAAAACATTCAGAATGAAACTAAAAGATAACATTGAATTTAAATATTCAGAAGATGTTATATTGACGACATATACAGCTTTGATTGGCGGAAATAATACCGACCTAAAGAACGACAAAATACTTGATGGTAAAAATTATATTTATGCATGAAGTATTAAAACAAATAAGTTACCACTAGAAACATTTATTAATATATGTGATATATTCAAGACAAAGATTTGGAAATCAGATTTTTTTTACAATTTGAAAGAAGTCTATTAAATGAACTTTCCTGTGCATGTATTGGTGACTTTTGTTATGTACTCCAGAAAACAGCCACTACGAACATGCCCATGTTACTCATACGAACATGAATAAAAGAAAAAAAAGGTATGAATAAATAGACTGGGACCATCTGTATGGTATATAGGGTCATTAGGAGGAGTGGTACTTTAGACAGCGATGAGAGAGAGTGAGTGAGTGAGTTGGGTTTAACGCCGCTTTTAACAGTATTCCAGTTATATCACGGCGTGTCAGCTTAATGTGGGAGGAAAGCCCGAAGTGATGCAGGTCTCAGACGTTTAACACTTCGGTGAAACCCACAAAAACAGGTATGGTAGACAGCAATGAGAAGCCTTGTAATCAGATCTTCATGATCACATGGAATATATTTCACCACATACATACCTCCTTGCTACAGGAGATATATACAATTTACCAAGTCAGCAAAGAAGAAACTGCCTGAACATTGGAGTGACGTCATCAAAGGTTTATAAGTTGCCGGAATACACAGTATTCAGTGAGCACAAATAGATTTACCTGGGAAAAGACTGACATTGCTATTTGCCTTTCATACATTTCCTGACGTAATTGTAAAGGAAATTCATAATTCTCCACCGAGAAGACAATGCTACACACGTACAAACATCCCGCTGACCTCCAGCAAAAGCACTAAGGAACTAGAAAAGCTTATAATTAGATGTCCTGCCCGAATCTTTTTTCCGAAAATGCTTGAAAGCCCGACGGTAAGAATCCATTGTCATTTAGATTCTTGAAAGAGACCTCACATTCTATGTTTCATTATCATTATTATGATGTCTCTTTTTTTGTTATTATTGACGAAAAGACGATGATTCTTTTGATAGTGCTTGCGCATCAATCGAAGTGTGACACATCTAAGTAAATTTTATTACTGTCACTGCTTTCGAATAGATTTTCTTATCTTGATCAATTAGTCGCCATAAACATCAGTGACTGGGTGAGTCTGATGTTACGTCGCTTTTAGCAATATTCCAACAGTATTATGGCAGCAGAAATGGGCTTCATATATATATATATATATATATATATATATATATATATATATATATATATATATTCTTTGTTCCTCCATAGGGGGGTTATAGACATATAAATACAGTATTTAAAAGTGTACGAAAACAGGCATTCTTATGTTAAGTCTATCCCTGCTCAAATGTCAGAACATATAATGTTTCCTCACAAGGTCTACATATGAGAGACCTTTGACTGCAGCTTTGGCAAAGTTCTCTACAGTCTCAGGATTTGCTAGGATCGGGGGCGTACATGCTGGGAGACAGCAAACTAACTTAATTTCCTGCTTGTTGTGGAATGCCACGCTGACCTCCACTGGACCAGTGTCGACTATGCTACAACAGATCGGACTGTAGGATAGAGTACGATGATGGTATATACAAAGAACACGAAGTAAAAACAATATTCACTGTCACATGTACTGCAACAGCGTTATTTTGAGTATTAAGAGGAACAGGACTGTGAATGACGCCCTGCCTCACCATAGGGGAAAAGCAATGGTAAGAATCGTACTGTCATAAATCAAAATTATCTGTTGGTTTAAGGAAATGTTCTTGTAAGCAAAATGCAGATGGTTTTAAATCCTGAAATAATAGTCGAAAATCATTGAATTTGTTCCGAAGTCCTCTACAATTCCATTGGATAAAATTAGGAGAGCTACTTGTAGCTCAACCGGAGATCGTGAGCGGGAGGGAGATCCATTACCATGAAATGGGAGTGAAGGACTGACCTCCATCTCCAAAGGTTCAAACTGATTGTGAACCTTTATAGATGTTGACTGAGTAGAGGCACCTCCAAATGCTGGAGGGCCCTGGCCTTATTTTCAATTGATTTTTTTTTTTGAAGATAAGTGGGCTTCGCTCTGTATTGTTGCAGGGACAATTTCATGTTCAGATGATGGATCTTCTGAGGGTGTTACAAATGTTTCTCTGTGAGGTTGATGTCGAGACTGCAGGCCTTAACAGGAGAAATGTCACTAAATCTACTTAGGGAACCCTAAATTTCTGGGCCGCGTCTCATTCCAGCCCCCTAATCCCAAAACCTAATAAAAAACAATATCAGCCCAAAAAACCAAGCCCTAGCTCGAAAACACCCTCTACTTACTCCAATATCCCAAAGAATAACCAATTACTTAAATGAACACCAAATAAACAATCTTAAACAAAACTGTAAAAAATCAAATATCTTCACCCCAAAACTTAAAACACCCAAAATAGACATAACACAACTAGCACAATAAATAAACAAACCGACTCAATCATAGCAAAAACCACCACACTAGCATACAGACATGAAAATTGGCCAAATTGCTGTCACATTTACACAGACGGATCCTCAGATCCGATCTCCAAACACACAGGTTTCGAAGTCCACATCACACAACCAACTAGAGCCACACAATCCTACCGACTCCCAAACAATCAATCAATATTCACGGCCGAACTGATAGGCATGGACTCAGCCATTCATAATCAACAATCTAAAAAACAACAAACAATCCTAATACTAGAACTTACCGACTCGCTCAGTGGACTACAAGCCCTCCAAGATAAAAACACCAAAAACCGCCCTGAGCTTATTAATCAAATACTAAAAAGCTCAAACGATTTAACTAAGGCAGGCAAACAAATAGTATTCATTTGGATCCCCGCCCAAGTAGGAATATACGGCAAGGGAAACGCCGATAAAGAAGCTAAACTATCCCTTAAAATCCCAGCAATAAGCTTCAACCTACCCATTTCCAATTCAGAAATTATAAGTGTCACCAAACAAAAAATCACCAAAAATGGCAAAACCTATATCTAAACTCAAATAGCCAAAACAAAAAGGTTCTAAAAAAGCCCCTAACCAACCAAAAATTAAACGTCCGTCCAAAAAAATCGACAGAGTAATCACTAAACTCCAAATAGGACATACCAACCTAAATAACCACCTCAAAATAATAAGAAAACACGCAACAGGAACCTGCCCACATTGCAAACAACAAGAAACCCCAGAACACGCACTAATACACTGCACCTACTACCTAACACACCAAACTACACTACAAACCACCCTAAATCTAAATAAGGCTCTTTATATAACATATGTATTTCCATAAAGTGGGGGGATTAGCAAACAAGCAAATTTTGCTTATCTGAATGCCTCTCCCAAAC